CCCCGCCACCACTAAAAGAACATTAACTCATTCTCCCATAACTTTCCAATAGATTGTAGCAATGTTACATTGACGTTGGGAAGTGAAAGGCCCAGCTTCTGAGCCGGGATGGAAGACTCACTCCTCATAGAATTGCACGCTCTAAGGAAGAGGAAAATGAAAGACTCGTTCATTTTCTAAGTGTGAACATTACATTTCTGTGATTTACTCTTTACATATTTCATTAGAAGAATCTCCTTGTCCTGGGGTTAGCTATATCATGATATTTGGTTTGATGTTTTATGCTTCAAAATTTCTGCCTTTGTTGCTGATGTATTGGCTTCAGGTTCCTTCATTGTCCATTTATCTTTTTTTTTTTTTCTCCAAAATTCCATGGAGGAATAGATTGATAGTTGTCTGGTAGTACAGATTATCAGAATTCTTTAACTTTTGGATAAAATATACATTACAACCCATTTGTTCCTTGGTGAACCACGGCTGTTGCCTTCTACATTTATATTTTTTATGTAGTTTATCAGTTTTATCTTTTCTTCAGATATTCCTGCCAAAAGGAAAGCTCTTAATGTGATGAACATTGGTTGGTGAGGAATAATGGTTGTGTTTTTATATGGTTCATACAATTTCCCCCCTTTTTTCTCTCCTACACCCCACCCTACCCTTCCCTTTTCTTTCCTTCTTGAATTTTAAATGTCTCATTTCTAATGCATCCCAAACTCATGAGTGTCCATACACAGTCATGCAGCCTCAGTAACCACTAACTTAGATTCTGCTTTTCACTTACACCCCTCCCCCCACCACTGCACTAGTATGACGCAAATCCCTCACACCATACATTTCATCTATAAATTCTTCAGTATGTCTGTGGAAGATACCTACTCCTTTTTTTTTTTTAAAGAAACATGATATAATGATAAAAAATAGTAATTTCTTAATATCATGAAATACTTAGTCCATAATAAATTTTTCCTTTTGCTTTAAAAAATGCTTCAATGTTTGAATAGGATTCTAAATGTCCACTTTTGATTTATTCAGCTTATAAATCTTTTTAAATCTATAACAAGCCCCCCTCCTTTCCTTGATCGCTGCAACAGATCTGTTGAACAAACCAATCCTCGGTCCTATGGTTTTCCACATTACAGGTTTGGTGTGTTACTTCATGACTTTGAGAATCTAAATGCTTCCCTCCCCCTCTACCACCCCACTGTTCTCTATAATTCCTGTAGTTTGATGGCTGGATTTTGAAACTCAGTGAGATTCATAAAGCAATTTTCACGAGTATGCTTTCAAGAGAGGGAGAGAATTTGTACTTCCATGGTGATAGCTAATGTTATCTTTGATGATGAAATAGACTTGTGACTTCAGACACTGACAACCTACCTACTATAGACTCTGTGTTGGCCCCTCACTTCTGAATCTTGCTGCCATTGATGATCATTATATCGATCCATTATTTCATTTGGTGATATTCTAATGCATCCTCTCATTCCTTCTTCACTTTTTGGCAACATACTATAAAGAAAAACTATTCCCTCACCTCAGCTTCATTTTTCCAAGGAAACAGTTGACAGAGGCAAGACAGAGTATCAGTTTGGATCACCCCCTCCTTACCACTTTTCGTAAATCTTTAAAATTTATCCCATAAAGAGGCCAAATATATTCTCTCTTTTTAGTGTCATTAAGAATTTGTGTTCCAGTATATTCGATGTTTTCTATATCACTATAGTCTCTATTATATCCCTTGTTCATTTGTTTGTTTTGACAATGAAAGTATAAGAAACAGATATATCCTAAAGTTGAGAACTTGAAAAAATAAGTTTTTTAAAAGTGAAAATTGCTTTAGGCACATTTTAAAGTAGGGCAATGGGGTTAGAGTTGGTGTGTCTTCTCAATCTTCTTTCAAATGAGTTGAAGCTTGAGCCAGGATTCACCAAGGACAAACCTTGCACCTGTTCTGAGACAATAATGCCTGATGACTAGTTTATTTTTCTCAGTAGCTTCAGATCTAGTTGTTATTTGAAGCTTTTAACTCACATTGTTACAGATGTAGGGAATAGTACATCAACTTATCTCTTTTTTTCTTTTTGTTGGGATTCAATTCCCTGGCCAAACACAATCCATTAAAAATCTGTTGAGTAATGACCTTTGCTTGATGTCACTACAAGGAAGGTGAAAACCACAGAGACATCAGAGGTTCTACAGTGCTTATGAAGAGATAAAACACGTACACCCACTGCATATTGGAAAGTATTTTTTTAAACAAAAGTGTTCAAAATGACAGAATTTTTAAGGGAATGCAACTCATCAGCAGCACACAATCAAAACTGTTTTCACTGAATTTTCTCATTAATAGCAGGAGCTATAAGGAAGGCAAAAATCTGAAAGGTCAAGTCCAGATGACAACAGCTTAATTTCTGGGGCTAATATTTATGACTAGATTGTTTAAAAGGTGAGGAAAACCCATTAATAGGCTATAATAACTTGCATGGATATTTTCTTACAAATATCAGGATGTCATATAGTTGATAAGGAAAACCCAAACCATTAAAGATATCTTCAATGGTTTTAGTAAATTATTTTCTCAATTGGTTTTAATAATTGGTGTGAATTTGGTCTCATTTTATTGAGGTTGCTTACCTGAGGAAGGCATGATCCGTTGGTAGTTGTGTACATAGAAAATTCTCAAAACCCGTGGTCCCTAAGGGCTCCACCACTCCTGTCTCTGCTCTAAGACATTTGGGGGATCAGAGCCAGGGGATCACAACCATTTCCCAAAATGCCTTGTGAAATGGAATCCTCATGAAGCGTCACTTTCATTTTTTAGGGCCAAGTGGCCCATCTTTCTGCCCCACTTCCCCTGAGAAATTGACTCTCCAACTTCTTTATTTTCATGAGAAACGGAAATGATTCTGGTTCTAAAGCATCCCAAACCCTGACATTTAATGACACATGATAATAATACTGAAAGAAGAGCTGCACTTCAAAATAAAACTAAGGAAAAGGATAGCTATCTCCTCAATGGAGACTTAGATTGGCATGACCACATTCTTTATTTCTTAGGTGCTCCAGAATCTTAGGGTTCTCATTGCTTCCTGCGGTGCTCCAGAATCTTAGGGTTCTCATTGCTTCCTGCCATCCCCAATTCTCTACCCCCCCCCCCGCCATCTCTACCTTTTTTTTTCCTCCTCCAGCAGCCCATCTTTGCTGAGATGCTGGGATGGAGCTGCCTCTACTTGGCTGCCATAAAATCCCATATGGGCCTCAGAACCTGCTAGCGTGCTGGACTCGCCATGCATGCTGGCACGTGCCCTTCCACATGTGCCCTGTTCTCCCCTCTTTCCACTGGCCCCTGCTTATTCTATGAGATGCAGCCACCAGCTGCTTAAGCTGCATGATAAGACTGAGGCAGTTTGTCTTTTCCTGTACATTCTAATGATTTGGAGGGTACATCCGGTGAGGGTACCTTCTCGCCTCTCATGCCACTTTGTGCCGAGTACATTCTTTGTTTTGTAACTGAAGTTGCAAGAAGACAAGCACACAGACCCACGCGTTCTGCCTTCCAGTCACATCCCTTCTCACTTTGTAGAAGGACAAAGTGTCACTTTGTCAACACTCTGGGGACCTCAATAACTATCCCCAAGAAGGAGTTAGGAATCATAAAAAATGCTGGCTTGCTGTTGGGACTGAAGTTATTTACTCTATATGGATAATCGATACAACAGAAAAAGAAGAAAAAGTGTAAGTGAAAACAATGAGGTTGATTATTGATTTGGGACCAAGGATTGCTATAGTCATAACATGTCCTGTTTCCTTCACCTGTCTATAATGGCAGCAGGTTATATAAGGTAGTGATTTGGAAGGCATAATTATCCGATAAACCAAGTAGTGTCAGAAAGCACAACCCATGTGTTTTCAGCCTGCTTAGGACAAGTTCCACAGTGATGGTGACATCCTTGTGTGTGGGTCTCCTCACAGGGAGCAGCACCATTTCTCGTCTGTGCCACGTCGGGTACAACCGTGCTGGGAGCCTTTGACCCCCTGGACGAAATAGCTGACATCTGTGCAAAGCATGGTCTCTGGCTTCACGTGGACGTAAGTTCATCTGGACCACACGGCCATCTGCTTAGTTTTCTAGTCTGTGTGTGGCTTCATGTACTTAGAAGCTAGTTGTGAGATCTCCAGCTAGTTGTGAGATCTCCAGCTACTTTTATTTGTCAGAAGGAAATAAATACATTATTGTCTGTAAAGAATAAAGATAAATATGATGAGACTTGATATAAAATGATTTTTCAGGTTTTTTTTTATCCTATTTTATTTCCTCTGCACCCATAAACAATTTTCTTTGGTCCCTCGAATCCACTACTATTGAGGCAGTGGGGTAGAAGCACACTTTTAGCTATGGGGTCAAGTGACTTTGATTTAGGAGTTCTGATCTCTTTTTCATTGTGACCTGAGCTCTTTGGACTCTAGTTTCTTCACTTATAAGGAGAAAAGTGGCTGACATGGTCTGTAAAGTATCTTTGAACTCTAAAATTAGGTAATTTCAATCAGCCAGAAAATCCAAAATGCCACATTACAGAATTACTTGCTATAATTATAGCAGGTTTGATCTGGATCTATCATAGATCATTGAGAGGAACAGGGATAACTGATATTCTTTATACTTTTCTAATTAAAGAATTGGCTTTGATTTCCAATTAATTTTATAAGTTCCAAGGTGGCTTATAATACCTTTTTCCTTAATGAAAGGTAACTCTTAAAATTTACTTATCCAGGGTTAAATAGTTGAATTCAGCCCATTATGAATGCTTGCTGAAGTCTTTTTTTTTTTCTTTTTGATGAAACCAGTAGTTAATGAATTTGATTCAACCCAATAGTGGGTCTTGAACATGCTGATGAGGCTTTAGGGACTTTCCTCTGATAAATGAGTAGTTCAAAACCTCCTCATCAGGAAAAAATTTTGACTTTCTCAACATAAGGTAACTGAGCATTTGGGGGATATCTTACATATAATTTTATAGTTTGGATGATTTTATGTTTCCAAAGTAAAGTGTCTATCATATGACATGGAGAGAATTTTTTAATAGTTCAAGGCTTTTATTAAGTGTATGCTAGTATTTGGTAAAAGCAGCAGTAATATAAAGCTCACTGGAGTTATAAACTCTTTCAATCTTCCAGTACTTCAGGTAGATTATTTGCAACTTCTTTAAGTGGGATTATAGGATTTTATCTGTTCACATTTCAGCTTTTACCTTATATCTTACATTTTTTTATAAACTTGATTTTTATAGACTTAGAAGCATGATAATACATTATATGCTAACAGATAACATAAAGTGAATAATTTTTGTGACTGTGAAAATAGGGGGGAAAATCAAACACATCAGCAGTTACACTTAAAAATTCTCCTCTCATAAAAAAAGTATCAAATATGAATTATATAGTTTATATAGAAGAGAGTAACTACAGCATTTTCTAAATTGGGAATGATATTAAGAGATTTATGGGGCTTAGAGAGAATTATTATTTACAATTATGCATGAAAACCTCTCTAGATTTTCTAAAAATTAGAGGTTGCATTTTCAAAAGACATACGTTCATAAAGAAAGATTTAGATCACACAAATTATTTTATTTGTGTATAGTAGTTATCCATGAATGCCAATATTACTAGCTTAAAATTGACAACAGTTTATCTGGTTTATGAAGTAAATTAGCTCTAACATTGATTCATTGTCCCATCTTTTAATGTCTCAGGCATTGAATCTGCTAATAAAATTTTATGTAGGAGCATATAGCCTATCTTGAAGAATCTTTATATGCCCTGTGTAGTTTATTAATTTTAATGATAAAATGCAACAAAGTTGCAATAATTATTTTGACCTGTTGGGAATTTTCTAAAAGATAATTCAAACATCTTTTAAACTATTACACCTGCTATTTATTTTTAATGTAAATTATGACTGCTTGTTCTGGATTTAAAAAAAATACAACCACGTTGTCCTGTACACATCCCATAATTTATAAACTCTTTAAGATATGCTCGATTTCTTACATTTTTTTTTTTTTAAGATTTATTTATTTATTCATATAGAGCTGGGGTACAGGCCAGAGATGCGGAGGGTGAGAGGATTCACCAGAGACAGAGTGGGGAGCAGAACAGGCAGATCCAAGAAGTACACTGCTGAGGGGAGCAGTGGGCGGGTCAGGAGAGGTCTGCCACGCCATGTGGTCACCTCCGGGGCAGGCGGGGATCGAACTCATGCGGAAGTGGGTTTAGATTCTCAGTGCTTTAACCCGCTGCGCCACCAGGGAGGGCCCAATTTCTTACATTTTTTAAAAAGATTTATTTATTTATTCATACAGAACTGGGGTACAGGCCAGAGATGTGGATGGAGGGTGAGAGGATTCACCAGAGACAGAGCAGGGAGCAGCACAGGCAGATCGAGGGAGTACATTGCTGAGGGGAGCAGTGGGCGGGTCAGGAGAGGTCTGCCACACCTTGTGGATCTCGTAGGGGCAGGGGGGGATCCAGCTCATGCGGAAGTGGCTTAAGCTTCTTAGTCCTGTGCTTTAACCCGCTGCGCCACCAGGGAGGGCCCAATTTCTTACATTTTTAATATTACTGATACTGGTCTATGGATATCATTTTTTCTTCATTAGTGGGACACAAAAATGTAATGTTGATTTTTACATGTGATAGTGTCTTCAAGTTAGTTAATTACAGGCATTTTAAAAACAATTGAATACTAAAACCTTTAGTCTCATTAGAAGTTTGCCTCCAGGCTGTTTCTTCCTGCAGAAGAGAAAATGTTATTCCATCTTCTGCCCCAGACTAGGATGTCAGTCTGGGCCAGCTCTTCCCTAAAGCAGAGGTGGTGGCTGCAAACCGTGAGCTGCCCACAGGGCTGCTAACAGTCTCTCTCTGCTCTTATCCCCAGTCCCAGCAGAGGTAGCCATCAGTGTACTGAAACTCATGAACTTTACATACTGCTGATCTGCTTTCCATCCCTGCTTCCACCTTCCTTACTGCTAACTAATTAATTAATTAAAGGGGAGAAAAAGGTAAATAAAATGGTAACCATGGTTCCAAACTTCAGCATGAGCCCAGCAAGTGACAGTTCTTATTGAAATGGAAAATCCAGCTCCTTCATCATTTAAATGCTTGATTTGGGTGTTTGCAAGTTCTGGAGTTAGGAATTTTGAGAGCAAAGTTAGTAGAAGTGGGGCATCTATAGCAGAGGTGCTATTTCTCTCTTTCTAGCTCTACTGAAGAATCTGTGAAGGAGCTGTTCCTAACTATGCTGAACTTCTCTGGAAGCCAGTGGGGCTCATACCCTGAAGGAGCTCATGTGACTTTAAAATTTCAATCCAGCTCACTAGGATTGGGGAATATTATTTATTTTGGTGTGGTGTGGGGAGGGGGAGGAAGAGGAAGAGGGTGCCACCAGAGACCTGAAGAAGTGAGGGTCTGAACATAGAGTGTAAGGCAAGGACGGAAGGAATAAACAAGCATGGCTAAGCCTCACAAATTCCTCTAGTTGTCACTATAGGTTCTCAAGAAGGTTGGTGGATAAGATGAAGAAAAATAAGCCAGTAAGGATTTAGGGTGTGTCATGGAAGTAAAATAATTTAGCATTTTATCATATTAGGCACCTTAATGCCTGTGAGGCTCAAAATTTCAAAATCTGTATCAGGAAATCCTCTACTGGTTGAGAGGGAAAAAGTCTCCTGTGTGTGGAAGGCAGTTCCTTCGTCACACTTCCTTCATTGCCATTGTCGATGGTGGAGAGGACAGCAGGGATGGGATTTGACTGACAACCCCAGGTCACCTGTCTCCTATTTTGAATGCGGGGGATCTGCATGCACACCACCTGTAGAAACTCGTGGGGTTATTGGAGACATCAGTTTGTGGAAGCGGGGCTGGAACTCAGGTGAGGCAAGCGAGCTGCCCAGGGCTTAGGTGAAGGAGTCCTTCACCTGGGGCAGTGGAAGTCCCTAGCTCTGATGGTGAACCTCCACAGTTGCACCCCCTCTGGGACCCACTCATGACATCTTGACCCCGGTTCTAAGTGAGAAACATTTTAAGTGACCTTATTGCTCATTAATGGGCTCAGCTTTGTGACATTTTGAGGATCAGAGAGGCATGTCCTGTCATTTCCTTCCATCTTCCATATCCCTGCTGTACTCAAGTCTTCTTTCTCTTTCTAAATTCTATGCTAAAAATAGGATAAGTTATGCCAACTTCCTAGACATCTTCTAAACTCACTTCCTGCCTGTGGTACTTCCCTAACCCTCAACTGTGCATCCTGTGCTCCAGCATTGACCTAGTAGATGCTTGCCTTCCCTAAGTTATGATGCTATCCTTGAAAAAAAAAAGGAGGGGGGGAGGGGCTTTGGCCTAAGAGCAGAGCTGGCTTACTACCTGTGAGATTATGGACAATTTACCTACCTCCTCTGAACTCCAGTTTCACTCTAAAAAATCAAGGTGATAATTCCATCCTTAATATAATTATGTGGCTTTAAACAATACTGGAGAGCATTCAATATAGGCCAAGCTAGTCCCACACGTTCCCTCGCTTCTGTCCACTATCCTGTAATTTAGAAAGTAGCTGTCTCAATATAAAGAATCAGTCTGACTTTCTCCCTTCCTTCCCTCCAGATCTATTGATTATGGGATTTCCTTTCATTTCCTTAGTCTCCTTTCCCCTCTTCACTCACATTTACCTCTCCAATGAATGACCTCCCAACTCCCAAGAATCTTTTCTCCCATCCTCACAGTTTTGATTTGCAAACATTCCTGAAAACACTTCGCTGAAGATAGCCATTTTTTCATGAGTTGACTACACTGCCATCTAGCTCATCCTCATTGGTGAGAGTTCCTTTGGTCCCTTCTGTCCACCTTTTTCATACAGAATGCCAGCTCGTGCCTCATGTCTTGTTTTTGCCATGTGCATATCGTGCTTGCTATTTAAGGATATTGTCTATTTTAAATTCGAAAAGAGTGTAGGGTCTGTGTCTTCTGAAACTCTTTCATCCATTCACAAATCAAAACAAATTTCATTATGGTGTGTGGTTTTACAATCTAAAGGTCAGTGGAGGTGAATCTGTTGTGATGAGATTCTGCTGGTCTGATTTAGGCCCTGAGCTTAATCTCCTGGAGTCCAAACTGATTAACATTGACTTAAAGTGTCAAATAAGACAGATTAAAGTTGCCACTGAGGATTTTCTATGACAATGGACTGATAACAAATAACATTACAATAACATTATTTTGGCATATATCTGTATATCTCAACAGGCTTCTTGGGGTGGCTCAGCTTTGATGTCAAGGAAATACCGAAAGCTTCTGCATGGCATCCACAGGTAACAGCAACTGTAAATATCGTTTCCCAGGCATAGAGCAAGGGAATTTTCTGGGTCTTTGCCCACTTAATTGACATTTTGAAAGTCGGCAAAAATAAAAATAATTGTCTTGCTTAAAAAGAAAAACAAAACTTTAAAGACCTTAAACCACTCATATAAGAATCCTGTAGGATACTGACTTGTGTCTTGAATATAGATGTGGCAAGTAGTAGAATTCTTTCTGCCAGTAGAAACTAACTGCGACCCACCCCTCCCCTGCCCTTTCTTTATTTAACGTAACAGAGCTGACTCTGTGGCCTGGAACCCACACAAGATGCTGATGGCTGGAATTCAGTGCTGTGCTCTTCTTGTAAAAGACAAATCTGTGAGTTTTCCTCTTTTAGTCTTTGGGCAATGAAGGAGTTAAATTTTACTATATTTTCAGAGGTCCCATTTTTTATTATTTTTTGGTACCTTGGAGCAGACGTAGATGACAGTTTCTGGTTAATGTTGGTAGCATCAGAAGAAAAGATAAATTGGTCTAGATAAAAGATCCAGTGTTTCTGCTCAGGTAATTTTGTGGATTTGATTTAGGTATCATATAATGTCATTAGTTACAGCAAATGGTCGCTCTCATTCTCATTTGGATTATAGTTGGAAACTCAGTTTTAAACATTGCCAAGATTTTTTTTCTCCTTGATTAAGTCTGGGATTTAAGTTATCTTGAAACTTCTGCTTGCTGAAAAAGTGGAACAGATGTGTGTCATACATTAAATTGAATGCTTAATATGCTTAGCTGGAGCTTAACAGGCCGTTTATATGGGAAGATGTTAGTTCTGGGCTGATCATGGAACACTGATTTATTAAAGGATTGATTGTCTCAAGTGGTTGGTACTTAGCTTCCTTTGGAACATGGGGGAGAGTTGGGAACTAGTCTGTATTACTATGAGGCAAATGGGAAAAGAATTGTTAAGACTCTTCTTGGCTAAAGGTAGAGACCTTGAGTTTTCTGTGGGTTAAATAAGGATCCTTGTGGGAAATGGGCCAGGCTGGGAAGTGCCACTTCATTCTTAGAAATGCCTCCTCAAGATCTGCATGTGGCATGTGGGTGATCTTTCTCAGCCATCTGTTTACATTTTTTTTCCCCCTTAGGGGACTCCCTTTGCCAATGTGAAAGTCAATTTTTTCTTTTTAAGGAATTTTTATCTCAAATGAAAACCACATTTAAAACTTGAACCTTAGTCTTGTGCAGATAGTTACAACTCTCTTTTTAAAAAATTGTGATATTTGTAGCACAAATATTAGGGTCTTGTGTGTTTTGATATGACCAGATAGAATGTCCAGCAGAAACTGTGAATAGATTCTACACTGAAGATACTGACACTTTCTGAAATCTGAATCTACTCCTTACTGTGTCGTTAGATTGTCTACAGTTGAGTGCCATTGACTGTACTCAGTTTTTTTTCATGTAAATTTTTGAAATTGTAGAGCACCTTCATGTTATAACTGAAAGTATTTTAAGATGACTCTAGTATTTGTGAACCAAAGACCATACTCAACTTGCTTAAATAGTGAAGATGAAGAGTTAGGGGTAAGTGGGTTTTCCTGTGGTCTGGTCGCAAGAACAACATAAGTGAGGTAGGCATTTTACATCTGCTTTCTCCCTAATCAGCTTCTCTGAATGACATCTCCACTATTGGTGTGAGCTTTCAGGCATAGAAAATTTAAACCAAAAATTTTACAATGACACTTTTACATAGCTTCCTAGTTTTTATACATTTTCTTATTGAATGATATTTTAGTGTTTTGGGGAAGAATTGATTTACATTTATGTGCTTAGGGCAATTTAAAATTTTCTGGATCATCTAACTATATAACAGGGGTCAAAGTTTTATAATTTTAAAGGAATCCATTCTGGATCTCAACAAAAATAATAATACCCATATCTACTCACATAGCAGGAATTAAGAGTTTAGGAAAATTGTATTCATTGTGCAAAGAATTGAGCACTTTCAAAAATTGCCTATTTATTTTGGATGAATGGCTAAACAAATTGACCAGAATAGAAAACTGAACTATGAGATTTGAGCTTTGACAATCAGCTGAAGAAATTTTGTACTAGCAGTTTTCTGTCTCATTTGTACTTATTTTTCTGCCTCTGTTGTTCTCTTTCATGTTCATTTGTTCCTTCATTCATTCAACCAACCAGCACTAACTGACTGCCTAGGTAGGCCAGCCACTGTGCTGATTCTGTGCTTATAAAATAGTCACATTCTCCATAATCAAAGTGTTTGTAATCTCACAGAGAAGACAATGCATCCATTGTACACATTTAATTCTTTAATTACTATTTTGATAAATGCGCTGAAGAAAGTGCCAGACGCTGTTAACTGCATGTATTCTACAGTCATTCCAAACCCCCTCCCTTATACTCATCTAATCAGTCTCCCTTGCAGCTGACAGTCACCAGATAAGGCTAATATGATGGAGAGGGATGGTGATGGAGGCTCTTGGGAATGGGTTGACATTCTGCTAGAAATGATATATGCAAGAGGAGATCATTCTTCTATACTTTCTACCTTTAATACAGTTGCACTAGAATGTGACTCATGGAGCTCTGAATCACCCTATATCCATAAAACCATGACCCTATATTGAAAAGTGAACATGCACTGAGTGGCAGAGCAGAAAGAGAAAGCCTGGTTCTCTTGGGTAATGACTTTGAAATATTGCACTAATCCTGGAAGTGCCTGCTTCCAAATTTGGTTTTGATATGAAGTAATAAGTGTCTTTATCACTAAAATTATTTCCTTTGGGTGATCTTTAACATGCAGCACAAAATAATCCTATCCTAACTGATAGAACAAACAGTTTGATACTCTGACAATACTAACAGGAAGGCCTGAGATATTCCAGGTGGAAGGGAAAACATGCACAAAACTAATTGGAAAGGTCCCTTTTGTTTTATAAACAAAGGCATTGATTGCTGTTGAAGTCTGGAGAATGATGCTAAAAACTGCATCAGATGAACTACAAGATTAGTGATTAGACTATGCAGGAACTTAAAATCTATTTTAGTGGTTTCAGACTTGATGTTCAGAGCAATAGAAGAATTTTAAACCTTGGAGTAACCCAATGACACTTTAAATGAAAATATTGTATTGGCAGTGGCAAGAATGGATGCAAGGATAAAAAGTCTTATAGTATCAACCAAGAGTTGATAGGGGTGAGGGAATTCAAATATGTGATGAAATTTAAGCTATATTTATAATTTATTAAGGTAGCATTAAGGTAGCATTGCATTATGTAAGTTTCATTTGTGCATCATCATACATCAATAGCTATATATTTTAGATACTCTAAAAGTCCAGTTCTGTCCTTCACTGTATGGCTAACTCCCTTTTAAAAGGAACTGGTACATCCTCTTTCTCCTTTCCCTACTGGTAACATTAATTTGGTCTTAATGTCCAAAGCTCTGTTTTTGTTTCATTTAGATTATGCATTTGTTTGGTTTCTCTATACACCACCTATAAGTGGTGCCATGCTTTCTTTTCTTCACATGTTTTTTTTTTTTGACTAAGTGTAACATTTTTTGTATCCATCTCTGTTGTCCTTATTGACAATATTTCATCTTTCTTTAAAAGCAGAGCAGTATTCTATTGTGTGTCTACACCCCATCAAGATATATTTTAACTGTCAAATAGCCAGGTTTGACTAATCAGTTACCAATGGGAGATGAGGAAGAAGCAGATATCATGACTGACTCTCTTACACTGATACAGCAACTGAGGACATGATATTTAAGTAGATGGCCACTGGGTGAAATTTTGGAGTGAAATATCTTGATTTTAGCTTTGACTGTATTAATGAGGTATTCAAGTGAAGGGGTCATGTAGGGAGTTGACAGATGGATTCATAGCTAGGAAAAGAGGTCTGGGCCAGAAAAGTATACGAGGGAATTATTACTACATAGGTGATAATTGAAATTATAGAAATAAAGTGAATAGCCTTGGGAAGAACTGCAAAGTAAGAAAAGAATGTAGAACTTATCCCTGAAGAACTTGAATCTATACAGTGTGCAAAGCAGAAAGTATGCCCACTAAGTCAAAATGGCCAAGGAAGGTCATTGAAAAATTACATCTTTCATCCTTCCTATTGGATCTGCAATGTCACCTCCTTCAGAAAGAGTTCCCAGACTGACCAAGTGTTTCCTTCTCTAAAATGTTCATTGTGATTTGTAATTATAATTTCTCATGTATTACCTTTCCCTTCCACTAGAAGGTAAGCTGTATAAATAAGGTCTCTGCCTTTATAATTACCACTGTATACCCAGGGCGTGGCAAGGATTTATTGAAAAAGGAAAAAAAAAATCACTGAAAAATTTAATGATTAAAGAACTTAAAGATCCTCAGAAATATCTGTCTTCTGTTGGCAATAATTAGGAGTTTTCCAGTTTCTCCTCCAGCTCAAATTATTACTTTTGAGAACTCTGAGATAACAATGATTAAAATTATAGCTGATGAGCCTTATTGCTTAGATCCTAACAAAAGACTTGAGCATGCCTCCAGCAGTAATTGATGAGTAGTGATTTTAATTTGGACTTACTTCTGCAATTAATGTAAGGGGATAACTCTAGTTAAAAGAAAGCAAATTACTTAGTGAAAATACTTCTGTGAAGGGAAAAACTAATTCCCTAATTTGTACCCTCAAAGCCCTGACATTCACAGTGCTGCTTTCCTGATTGACTAACTGGTAGTGTTTGCATTTTTAATTTCCGTATGAGGAAAGAGGATTGTTTCAGAAATGAAGCAGAGCTATTTCTGAGTTCTAAGGTCCCTAACCTTTTTGTATCCTACAGATAAAAAGAAAATCAGTAATTTAAAAACGTGAAATTTTAGATAGGTGGACTTCAGATGGAAATGCTGCATCTACATGACTGTTTAGGATCAAAGGAAATTTTGATGTTCATCTAAACTAAAAGGCGCTATAGTCTGGATCAGTTGCATGGATGAAAAATTTCAATATTGACTTTTTGATATTTATTTGAAGGGGTTTTTACTTTTCATCAGCCTGACAGAAATATGAGAACATGAATTATGCTAATAAGATGTCTTTTTGAGTATAGATTATTCTATATTTCTGAGTCTCTTTATCATCTAATATAAACTCACAGCACTTGCTGTTTAACCTAGCAACTACAGAAAATTTAACAGACATATTTATTTAGAAAGATTATGCATACATATTTTTATCATGTATACTTTTATATATTTATTTTACAAGTAATTTGTATTCATCATAGACAAATAGGGAAATTCACATGTAGAGAAAGATGAAGAAAAAGAGAGATAGGATGCAAATATCTGAAGATGTCCTGTTATGTTT